TTACCCTAACTTTACCCTAATTACCCTAGTGAAGCCTTTATATGCCCCTTTAAGCTGAATACTAAGCTGCGTCCCAAATCGCATACTTATGCACTATTCTACGCCATTTTGTAGTATAAACAGTGTAAGTAGTGTGTTCACACTGAAAACACTAAAAATAATAAGTGCACTTTAATTACCCGGATGATGCACTCATTCAGCCGCTAAAACGAAGTGTGTAATGATGGACACTTCACACACTCAACCACCGCAGGTTTGCTTACGTAGCGGAAGGGGGCGGAGCTATCGGACGCACATGTTGAATAACTTTATTTAATTTGGATGGTGAAAGCAAAATTCTTTTACGAGAGTGATTATAGCGCCTCCCGATAGTGATTGCGGCAACACTCACGGCAGGTATTATTTGATAATTCGGCCGTTTACTTCAATGATTTGGCAACCGTCAAATGTCATCAGGCAAACGGTTTGAATTTCCGCTTAGTAAAAAAATATTAGTGTGCCATTTGGGACGACACTACACACATATACTACCCTCTTGAGTGTGTAAGTGCATAAGTACATAGTGCATGAGTGCATAGTGTATAGTGTGCCATTTGGGACGCAGCTCAAGTGTCTTGAAGAAGATCTAGTGTAATATTATTTACTGTCATCATGGCAAAGAGAAAAGAAATCAGTTATTAAAACTATTATGATTAGAAATGCGTTGAAGAAAATCTTCTCTCCGCATAATCTCTACTAATCGTGCGTCAGTAGCCTGTCCTTTTAGCGTGTCCTGCCTGCGGCTGCATGTTCGGGATGATCTGGGAAATACAGCGGGGCGTCTGGGAGCTGCTCTGGTTCTGTGGTACGACTAACCCCTCATTCAGAAGCACAGACGCTTCTCCTCTTTGTCCTTGGGAAGTTTCGTGGGTGTGTAGAGAGCGACTCGTCCTTATTCCGGCTCTGATTGAGACGGTCTCCTGACGGCCACTGCTCTCGCTCACTCGCTCCCTTGATAGTCAGCACAGAGATGGAGGTGATACAAGTGCTCTTCAACGTGTGTTTGAAGGCCACTGGACTTATGCATGCACCGTCTATCAGTGTTACTAATAAGTAGGGTGAACAAGAAGGTTGCTGGTTTGAGCCTCAGCTGGGTCAGTTGGCATTTCTGTGTGGAGTTTGCATGTTCTCCATGTGGGGAGTTTCCTCCGGGTGCTCTGGTTTCCCCCACAGTCCAAAGACATGCGGTACAGCTGAATTGGGTAGGCTAAATTGTCCGTAGTGTATGAGTTTGAATGAGTGTCTGGATGTTTCCCAGAGATGGGTTGCAGCTGGAAGGGCGTCCGCTGCATAAAACGCGTGTTGGATTAGTTAGCGGTTCATCCCGCTGTGGCAACCCTGGATTAATAAAGGGATTAAGCCGAAAAGAAAATGAATGAATGAACTAATAAGTCAGGCCAGACAGAATGGCTCAGTGGTTTGCACCTTACAGCAAGAAGGTCGCTGGTTTGAGTCACAGATGGGTCAGTTGGCATTTCAATGTGGAGTTTGCATGTTCTCCCCGTGTTATGTGTTTGTCCGTCAGATCTGCTGCTGTTGTTTTAATGAGGAGCGTCTGAGTGTCCTCTGAGGATCTGCTCTGACGTGATCCGACATGTTTTTCTGCCGCCTGGCACGTCTTCAGCGCTTCTCATGCCCTGAAAGATGGTGATAATGAAGTTGTCCAGGCTCCAATCTCTACTGTGTGAGCTGATGTTAGCCAAGGCTGTCTCTGAACGCTGGTTGGAGAGTTTTTTTTTACACTGAGGAAGGGCAGAGGCTTGCTGAAGAACTGCTGAGAGATTTCAGCTGCTGTCTGGACTTACACTGCCAAACTACACCTGCCTTTCTTCATGTGTTTCATATTTATTCATTGCGTCATTTTGTTTTATTAAAAAGAACTTCATTTATAAGCTAATTATTATTATTTTTTGCATATATGTATTTCTTTGGTTGTTACCAACATCTGAGGAAAACTGCAAGTCATCAGCACCTTTAGAAATAGGTTTTCTGAGAAAAATGGTGGCGTGTTCAGTACTTATTTTCCCTGCTGTATATATTTAATTGTGTATTTTTTATAGCTTTTATTCCATTTATTACATTCCATTAGTAGTCAATGTTAATATTTTCATTGTTATTTTTCAACTAATTACATTATTATCCAAAATAATTATTGTAAACTTTCGGAAGCATTTCTTGTTTAGTTTGTTTTATGTTTGATTTTATTTTAAACATTCATTAAAGCATTAACATTTACTAGTATAAGCTTATCTAGCTGATTGTTGTCAATGCTCTGATATTTATTTATTTATGTATTTATTTATGTATTTTATTTATTTATTTATCTATTTATTTATTTGTTTGTTTATTAATTTATTTATTTATGTATATTTATATTTATTTATTTATTTATTTATTTATTTATTTATTTATTTATTTATTTATTTATGTATATTTATTAATTTATCTATATTTATTTATTTATTTATTTATGTATATTTATTAATTTATTTATATTTATTTATTTATTTATTTATTTATTTATTTATTTATTTATGTATATAAATAAATGAAATAAATAAATAAATACATAAATAAACAAATATATATATTTGTATAATATATATATATCAGCAAATAAATATATATATATATGTTTATTTATGTATTTATTTATTTATTTCATTTATTTCATTTATTTATGTGTCTAAACGAAGTGCTATCGATGCATATTTTGATATATTAACAGTATGAAAAATCCACATAGAACATGATCTTAATATATGATTGATTATTAGGTATGAAAGAATAATCTGTGATTTTAATCAGGACAATGTGTTTTTGATTATTGTCAGAAATATACTGCTTACTGCTGTAATTGTATTTCTTCACACTTATGTTTGTGCATGTAAGGCCTACTTAGTATATTTTTCTGAACTTAAAAATCCAGACCTAATGCATCATTTTCTACTAATTCAGCAGCCATGAGCAACACTTTCCCTCTCAGCTTGTGTTTTTGACCACAGTACGGCTCACTAGGAGGTCTCAGTGGCTCTCTCTGGAAGTTGTCGAGGGTCTAGTGTCCCCTCATGAGCCCGTCTCAAATCTCGCTGTTATCTGGGCGCTGGTTTATTTCGCTGGCAGCATACCGCTCTACACAGGACGGCAGATATCTGTCCGTGGGATTAACAGAGTGTCTTAATGTTGTGTTTATTGCTCTCTGGAGATCCTGATCCTAGATTGTTGCTCTTTCTCTCACCGTCTTTATCTGTTCGGCACATGGGGAAAAACACACACACACTCACACATGACCACATCTGACCTCCAAGACGTTTTGCCTCAGCTTGTCCAGTTCCTGTGAGAGCATGTTTATAATTTCACTGATTTACCTGGCAATTCCCTGACTGAAAAATTCAGGCTTTGGTTCAATGCATGTGTTAAGTAGAATTTATTTAATTTTATTTAATTTTATTTTGTGCCATTTTATTTTATTGCATTTTATTTTATTGAATTTTATTTTATTTATTGCGGTTTTAGTTTTTTATTGCATTTTATTATTTTTATTTTATTTTAATTTATGTTATTGCATTTTATTGCAGTTTATTTTTTGCTGTATATTTTATTGCATTTTATTTTGTTGCAATTAATTTTATAGATTTTTTCATTTTATTGCATTTTTATTTAATTGCATTTTATTGAATTTTATTTTATTTACTGCGATTTTTAGTTTGCATTTTATTATTTTTATTTTATTGCATTTTATTTTCATTGCAATTTTATTTTATTGCATTTTATTTTATTGCAGTTCATTTTTTTGCTTTTTAGTTTAATGCATTTAATTTTGTTGCCATTTATTTTATAGATTTTTTTTCCCGAATATTTATTTATTGTGTTTCTGCATTTTGCAGTTTATTTTATCGCATTTTATTTATTGCATTTTGATTTATTGCATTTTATTTTATTGTATTCATTTATTTATTTCATTTATTCCATTCCCTTAGAAAAAAATACTGTAAAAAAAATATGTTATTCACAATATTTGCATCATTGTCCAAATAAATTATTGGCATTTTTGGAAGCAGTTACTGTTTATTTTGTGTTATGTGTAATTTTTTATTTCAAGTTGTCATCAAAAAAACATCAGCATTAGCTAATATTATCTTTTGTTTTATTGTAAACAGTATTTTATATAAGCCATCGTAGTTATTTTCTTTTTTTAAGTGAATACAATTTTTGAAATTAGCATTTAAATGATATTTGAAGCAGTATTTTAATTTGAATTTGTTAAAAAATATATAAACGATACTCAATATAGGTGTTTTTAATTAATTATTAATATTGTTTTAACATGTAATTTAATAGCAAGTACTTTTATTACTTTATATAATAAAAATATTTACAATTTAATCGTGTTATTTAAAGATTCCCTTTTTTTAATATACTTTTATTTACATATTTATTATCTGGATTGATTCTGTGCTCACAAACGGCATAAACGGCTTTCATCAGCGCAGACACAAGATGTCCTGCATTAACTTGTGATTTAAGGCTCATCCTGACATACACACATACACACATCCAGCCTGATCAGCTAGTTGGAGAAGCGTGAGCTGGACATCACCGTCGACTAGTGGCTAAAGGAGCTTTATATGGATTACACGTCTGAAAAAGCTTAAAGTTACATAAGATCTTGCTGAAAGTTGAGCTCAATGCCTTAAACTAAGATCTCCAGGACTCTTTGTATGCAAACCCATATAAGAATAATGTTTTATTAGATGCTAAATGCATATTTTACACAGGATTTGATCTAAATGACTGGAATCCCATTACAGTAACTACATCATTTGTTGTTATTCCTCTTCCAAGAAACTCTTATTTTTGGCCGCTGTTAACCAGAACGCTCTGTTTCTTCACGCATTGGAGCACTAAGTGAAACACACTATTTTTCTGATAGAGATCTGTGTGTGTGTTTGTGTGTTCAGGAACGAAAGCCGGAGTCTTTACAGTGAGCGGAACGAGTGAAGAGGAAAGACTGCGCTGAGGAACGACAGAGGAAGGAGAAGGAGACGAGTGTGGACTGTACTTTTGGAAGAGGAAGGAAAAAACAGACAGAAGTCATGGGGAGGAAAAAGATTCAGATTGCGCGGATAATGGACGAACGCAACAGACAGGTAAAAACAAACAGATCTTCGGTTACAATTGTAATCTAAAAGTATAAAAGTAATGTAAAAGTAATCCATAAGTAGTCAGATTACATTATCATAAACGTGTAATCTAAGGAATTATATAAATTTAGTTTTATAATTAATAGCTGAGAACAATTCATAAGTAATCATCTCACACACACACACACACACACGCATGCACACAGAGTGTCATCGTGATTATTTCCAAACATCAAGCACTTGTAATTAGAGTAAACAACTTTATAAACTACTTGTAATCTGACTACAGTTACATTTTTATGGGTTACATATTAGATTACATATTATTTTACACTATGGTAGTAAGTACAAGATCATCTAAATTTAATATATGTGACGTCAAATAAGGGGTAAGCATAAAAGTAATCCAAAAGTAATCCATAAATAGTCAGATTAAATTACAATAATTTAAGGGATTATATTACTGACTACACAAGATTCAGATTGTGCGGATAATGGATGAACGCAACAGACAGGTAAAAAAATAGATCTTAGGTTAGCACAAACATAATCAAAAAGTATAAAAGTAATGTAAAAGTAATCCATAAGTAGTCAGATTACATTATCATAAACGTGTAATCTGAGGAATTATATAAATTTAGTTTTATAATTAATAGCTGAGAACAATTCATAAGTAATCATCTCACACACACACACACACACACACACACACGCATGCACACAGAGTGTCATCGTGATTTTTTCCAAACATCAAGCACTTGTTATTAGAGTAAATTACTTTATAAACTACTTTTAATCCGACTACAGTTACATTTTTATGGATTACATATTAGACTACATATTATTTTACACTATGGTAGTAAGTAAATGATCTTCTAAATTCAATATTTGTGATGTCAAATAAGGGTTAGCATAAAAGTAATCCAAAAGTAATCCATAAATAGTCAGATTACATTACAATAATCTAAGGGATTATATTACTGACTACACAAGATTCAGATTGCGCGGATAATGGACGAACGCAACAGACAGATAAAAAAAAATAGATCTTCGGTTAGCACAAACGTAATCTAAAAGTATAAAAGTAATGTAAAAGTAATCCATAAGTAGTCAGATTACATTATCATAAACGCGTAATATAAGGAGTTATATAAACTTTGTTTTATAAATAATAGCTGAGAACAATTCAAAAGTACTCCACTCAGTTCTACACACACACACACGCATGCACACAGTGTCATCGTGATTATTTCCAAACATCAAGCACTTGTTATTAAATTACTTTATAAACTACTTGTAATCTGACTACAGTTACATTTTTATTTATTACATATTAAATCACATATTATTTTACACTATGGTAGTAAGTAAATGATCTTCTAAATTAAATTTTTGTGGCGTCAAATAAGGGTTAGCATAAAAGTAATCCAAAAGTAATCCATAAATAGTCAGATTACATTACCATAATCTAAGGTTAGCACAAATGTAATCTAAATGTAATCCAAAGGTAGACAGATTACATTACTATAAATGTGTAATCTAAGAGATTACAACACTGACTACAAATTTTGTTGTGCTGTATACACACACCCAGTATCTAATCTAGATTATTCCAAAAGTATTTGCAATTATTGTAAACTACTCTTTAAAATACTTGTAATCCATCTACAGTTACTTTTTTTTTGGATTACATTACATTACAATACAATGGCAAGTACAAGATTATCCAACTTCAATATTTGTGACATCAAATAAGGGTTAGCATAAAAGTAATCCAAAAGTAATTCATAAATAGTCAGATTACATTACCATAATCTAAGGGATTATATTACTGACTACACATTTTGTTTTGTAATAAGTAACTGATTACAATTTATATATAATCCACTCAGCTGCGTATACACACACACATCGCGATTATTTCCAAACATCAAGCACTTGTAATTAAAGTAAACTACTTTTTAAAATGCTTGTAATCCGACTACAGTTACTTTTTATGGATTACATATTAGATTACATATTATTTTACACAACTTCAGTATATGTGACATCAAATAAGGGTTAGCACAAAAGTAATACAAAAGTTATCCATTTACGTTACCATAAATGTGTAATCTTATGCTGTGTTCACACCAGACGCAGAGCGCACGGATAAATCACGTTATTCGCGTATAAATAGACGCATGAACATTTAAGTTTACTTGCTTCATTCGCGTGTCAAATCTGATTCATTCGCACATCAAATCCCACATCATTTGCGTCAAATTCACTTTAGAACAGACGCGGATTCGCGTCATGGGCAGGGCTTCTGTCTGCCCGGTGACTGTAGCCTCATTGCTAAATGGCTAACAGAATACATTGAGAGAATAGCTGTGTTTATGCGCTTTATGAAAGCTAAAAAAGTGTCGATATGTTTAGGTCTGGATCTGAGTCCACAAGATCCTTTCAGAGGTGCACCAGCCCTGTGAGCTCAGAAACTCAACCTGGATGATGGAGATTTTAACGGTGCTTCTGACTGAGCCGAGCCCAGTTTGATGAACTGTTGTCGGTGTTTGCTGGAGGATTTTCCCTGGGACACCAACAACAGGCACTACGTCATAATCACGCCACCACAAGAGCAAGCTCCTGATTGGTTAAATAAATGTGAATGTCCGCTTAAGTTAAAATTTTTGAACTTAAGTGATTTGTGTGAAATGTGCGTCAAACGTGTAAAACGCTCAATTTACGCCACGGCATTGGCGAAATTCGCACCATTTGCACCACGCTCATCACTTGTACTTGATGCTTCTTCCGTGTCTGCTGTAAACACAGCATAACGCCTGTTTCACACCGCAAGCAACAGCGGCGCGTGAGCAGAGCGTGAGCAGCGCGTGTGTTTTCGGCGTCCATGTTAACAGATTAGAGTTTTCATACCGCACGCAGCAGCAGCGCGTCAGAGCGAGGCGTGAGCGTCGCCGAAGCAGCAGTGCAGCGATAGTTTCGGCGCTGGGTCTATTTTTGACGCGCTGCTCACGCTCAATTAAAGTGACAGTGCATTGATAATGACCAAAACACATTGAATGTCAGTAAAAAGTAGCAATTTTACCCAATAAATACGTTAATAATGTCAAATGGTTTATATATAGTCATTCAAATGAACTTAAAACGATTAAAAACGGCAACAAACATTTATTTAGGCCCGAACTACAAAACCAAATGTAAAACTATTTTAGTATCAGTTTTGCTTAAGTTGCACACTAGTGTTGTAGGAGAGGGGAAATAGAATATTTACGGGATTTGTAGTCCATAGCGAAGTATATTGTGGGTAGTGTAGTTCGACACGCATGCTGGATGATGTGAGCTCGCTGTGTTCTGTGCAGCTGAGCAGAAAAAGAAAGTTTAAATCGGCTTTGTTTTATGTTCACTCGAGTTATTCCTACCGGGAGCTGTTTGCACTGTGAATCTGACAACACGAAAATAAGTAAAATAATGGCATGCATTGGTAACTTTTGTCCGTCTCATCATCTGCACGAGCATGAATTAACGAGCTGTTATTCTGCCGCTGGACATATGAAAAGTTTAAAAGGTGTATTTGTATATAGAGAGACATGGGTAACTAGATAGAATAGACAGAGATAGATTGATCTCTGCAGCAGCTGCCGAAGAACTGCGCGCTGCAGACGCAGCTGGTGTGAAAGGCAAACGCCTGCGTGCTGCTACTGCTCGACATACGCGCTGCTCACGCTCTGCTCACGCGCCGCTGACGCTTGCGGTGTGAAACAGGCGTAAGAGATTATATCATAAATTGTGTTGTGAACACTGTAGGGAATTAACTTGCCTAAATATGTCTTCCTGTAGTGTTTACTGTGTGTACGCTAATTAAACCATCCAGTTGTCCACTTATATTAGACGTTTGATTACGTATACTATTCAGAAATTTAGAAAGTGAATTGCGTAGATCATGAAGTGAAATCATTCGGAATGTTGTAGTCTAGAACACAACACAGATGAACGTATTGAAAGACAAGTAAAATAAAGGATCTTGAGTATGTGAAGTGGTTTATGCAGACTGAATGCTGAATATGTGGAGCTGTTGGTGGTTATTAGCTTGTTAAGAACTAGCGCTCTGGTGGTCTGACCCGCAGCTATCAGCGCTAGCATGAAATTAAATAGTTCCAGCTTTCAATCCTGATTTCACGTTTGGCCCTTCAGATGCACAGATGTGTGTGTGTGGGGTCAGGATAAATGCAAAATAAATAAATAAATAAAAATAATAATCATAATAAATTTAATATTTTAATAAGGGCGATACGGTGGCGCAGTGGTTAGCACTGTGGCCTCACAGCAAGAAGGTCGCTGATTCGAGTCCCGGGTGGGTCAGTTGGTGTTTCTGTGTGGTGTTTGCATGTTCTCCCCGTGTTGCAGTGGGTTTCCTTCGGGTGCTTCAGTGTCCCCCACAGTTCAAACACATGCGCTATAGGGGAATTAATCAACTAAATTAGCTGTAGTGTGTCTGAATGAGCGTGTATGGATGTTTCCCAGCACTGGGTTGCAGCTGAACGGGCATCCGCTGTATAAAATATATGCTGGAATAGTTGGCGGTTAATTCCTCTGTGGCAACCCTTGATGAATAAAGAGATTAAGCTGAAGAAAGATTATTCTATGATTTTATACCAGATACACCAAACCCCTCAGAAATGCCTCTGTTTGTAAATTGAGCTGTTAGAAATCAATGAACTAGATTTGTAATGACGAACTTGCAATCTTAGTCTAATCGAATACAAACTCTATGCAGTTTTTGTAAAATTGTGGTATTCACAGTTCCAATATTCAATGATTTCAATTAAAAGGGCGCCAGTTCCACCAAAACCCCTCAGAAATGCCTCTGTTTGTAAATTGAGCTGTTAGAAATTAATGAACTAGATTTGTAGCAACGAAAATTGAGATTTTTGTCTAATTAAATCCAAACCCCATGCAGTTTTTGTAAAAATTGTAGTTTTCACAGTTCCATTATTCTATGATTTCAA